TGCCGCCGTTGGTGACAAGAGGGCTTGTTCTTTTTTCACTCAAAGGCTAAATCAAAGACTTTTTTTTTACATAGAAATCTTTGTGCTAAAGTTCATAGCGATTCAGTAAGGAAAAGCAGACAGCGTTTTTGGCGCTATACCGTGAGGGTGATAATGATTTTAGTTTTTAGTTTTAGCTTTTTTATTATAATAATAAATACTTTATATTATTTAAAGACATATAAGGTAAAATACAAGTACATACGTTTAAATTTTTTGATAGTATCTAATATTGTGTCAAGTCAACTGACGTTTCTAATTTTTATTTTCATTTGTTTGTGAAATTAAAAAAAGAATCAAATATTTAATAATTTGATAAACTCATGAAGTTGAGCCTTTTAATATTTTTCAAGTACTTCTTCAAAAGATATAACTAACAATATAATGATTATAATATCATGATCTCGTAAAATAATTTTAAATATTCTAAAAAATGTAATAAATATAATACGATGCAGACGTCAAACGTGTTTTCACCTTTAGAATCATTTCAAAATGGACGAAATTGATTGTGAATACCTACCAGTTAAGTGCCTGAAAGTAACCTCTTTTCCAGAGCAAAAATAAATGGTCTCTATTCTTCGGCATAAAGACTCTATTGATCATAATGGGTGCAATGAGTAGTGATTAACGATCATACTGAATACGTCTATTATTTTACACTGTTTACTGTGTATTACATAATACATTAACCTAATTCTTATTTTACTACAGTTTCTCTTTTTAATTTTAAATTATCCTCATTTATTGGCTGGCATGATACTGACAGAATTTTTTGTTGTTTTTCCATTCGTATGGCCCGAACTATTATACTCATTTGACTAATTTAATTTCGTTTATTTGTTTTCCAAAAAACATTAGAATCGATTTAAATGGCTAATTAATCTGGAATTCAATTAAATAGTTTAGTTTAGGAATAGTTTGGGGGCGATATCATTACTTCTTCTCGAGTTACACGAAACAAAAATATTCAAAAGCGTATAAAGAGACACCGATATCCTTTTAAATACAATAGAATCAGTGTCAATGGACGTTAAAGACTTAAGAGATAATAATATGTTGACATTTGAGCCTCCAAATATTGAACCCATTACAACAAACGGAGTTTTTACTTTCTCCTAAAAAGGATAAAAGTTTATTTTGCCGGTTTAAAATATGATGTTAATATAAACTTTAATTAAGCCTGAACTGAATAAAATACTTTTAAACTTTGTTATCTTCGTATACTGCTGGTTAATATCAACTTTGTTCTTTTTACGGCCTTTATAGATAGATGTGTATGTATATTTTTAACAGACTTCAAAAAAGATGAGGTTCTCAATTCGAGTATATATTTTTTTGTATGTTATGCGATATCTTCGCAGATTGTGAACTAATTTTGATGATTATTTTTTATTAAATAGGTTATACTTTATTTTATTTCATATTTTCCCATATTATTATTTGGAGAAAAAATTCCACCCCTAAGGGTAGCAAATAAATAACTACTTTTTAATAATTATTTATTTAATATAATGGATTTTTGTAATTCAAATTTAGCCTACTTCCAGATGTCTTTATAATATGAAACGTTGCATAAGTATTAAACAAATGACAATACATATTAAATAATATGTATTGTCATTTGTTTTAAATATGATATTAAGTAATATTTTATGACTATTACATAGTGTTCTCACAAGCTTCTTCACAGTTTATGATCAGTACGTGTTGTTTAAGTTTTCTTAAACTCTAATACAAAACTAATACTAATACTCTAATGTAACAGAATTTTGTAATTCAGTTATCGGCCACTTCCAGTTCATCTGAAAAATCTAAAATATATCAAAATTTCATGAGTTACATAGTATTCTCACAAGGATTATCACAGCTCATGGTCATTGTGTGTTTTTAAATTAGTTAGTAATTTAATACATAATATTGAAAATTGTTACGCTAGGAAAGTATTACTACTGCTGCTAAAGTAGGCATTAGCACATCCCATTTATGTAGGCAACAGTAATGTTTACTTGTGCCACACAAGCCGAGAGCTGAGAAACGTTCAGAGATCGGTATATGAAAAACGGCAAGAGGAATCTCCACGCCTGTACAATATACATGATATAAAAAGAGACTAAAAGCATTTTGAGAGCACGTACGAGATACAAGTAGTGCATTTATTTCTTTTATAATATTTATTTAACATAATTGAAGTGTCTGTCTGTCATTTATTATGTTTTTTGGCCCTTTAGAATTTCATTGTTGTATGGGTTCTTTCGTCGTTGTCGTAATTAACAAAATGCATGTTCATTATTATATTATCTGGTGAACTGTAAGTTAGTTTGTCACTTTAGTTTTATAAAAAATGCCGAACTCGTGAGTTTATAAGAAATGTTTTTTTTTCAAAACTTTAAATTTCATTGACATGCTGAATGAGATCAAGAAACATTATAATAACTTTTTTTAAACGAATGTTGCAATGAGATACAAAAACACTGAAAATTTAAACCATATTTACGATCGTATATACGAGTACAAATGGGAATTGAATGGAATGGAACGAATTAAAATCCTATTTATTTTTGAAAGCGACGCGTTGGAATTAAGAAACCTGTTTAGTTTAATAAACGGCCGTGGTCTTATTAAAATTAATTCCAAATGATACACCGGCTTAAAATAACAACATAATGCTGTTGTATTTCAATCCCTAGGGCCGTTTTACTGTTAAGAATTGGTAATTTTTTGATCTTATTCGTCGTGGTGGTGACAATCAACGAATACAGTTTTCACTCGAGGATAGATGATGCAGGTTCCATAGCATTCACTTATTATTAGAAAAATATACAAGTTTTTTTTTTTGATAATAATAAACTGGCAAAAGTTTTTGTTCTTAGTAGAAAAATTGTGAAGCAGAAAGATACTTATTATGCTTATTTCTCCTCTCGTAAGTCATAACATTATACTAACTAAAATCCATAAAGCACTATAGTTTTATAAGTCTCCGATGTAAACAATGAGTCACTTATACAGGGGTTCGGCTCCCCTCGTAATTCTCGAGGCTATTCGAATACTTCATAAGCTTGAGCATTTCTAAACTCTCTCAATAAAGTTTATTTCATACTCTCGCAGTAAACTGCTTGGAAGGGTTTGGCGTTTAAATAAGTTTTGCAGTCCAGTTCTTCACCGGTCTTACTAGAAAATTGTAATACCCATTGTACAATAATTGTTAAGTATTTGATTGAAGTATCGCTTAGTTTGTAATTTTAGTCGAAGTTAAATTTTGATATATACCTCAAATGCCTAATAGTGTCGATATAGCTACTCGTATAAATATAAAACTAGCGTTAAAGAGCGTTATGTGACAGGATCCTGAAATCAGTTTAAATATAGCTACAAATGAAGACGAAAATATAGTACAATGAACAATGTGAGTATCATAGATTTTGAAATGTAAACTATAACCCAATTGCTTTATTCGAATGAAATTTTGTCGCTTTCGGTTATGTTTAAAAAAAATTATATTCGGATGTTTGAAGTGCAATTAAGCTTATGTAACATAGATTAAACATTAATATTACTTATTAAAAGCAAAAATAACTTTAAATTTGATGAGCACGTGGTGTGTATAGCTGATGGGTATACCATTAAAATAATGTGATATTTTTAGAAATTTTCAGTTTTCTTTTCTTTATCAATTACACGAAGTCGTAAAATTTAAATAACTTACGTCGTATTATGTTTTTTAAATCGTTACAAATGGGACATCATCCACTTATCATCAGGTCGACTGTGCGTTCCTTGGTTTGGGCTGATTTTTCAATCATTATATAAAAGTTATCTATCAAATAACCTGAATGTAAAACTAACACAATTAAACTAATTTAATCACACATTTTATACGTGGTAGAGCCATTCTGCAGCTATATTAGTAGTAGTATAGTTGTAGCACAAATGGAACGGCTCGACCGGGGAAGGACCAAGCTCTCACAGAATACCAGCGTCAAATAGCAGTTTAACACTGCTGTGTTTCGTATGATGAGTGTAGAGAACCGGAGACCCTTTTTACTGGAAAAGAGGCATTCCATCTTAGTCCTCACGAGTGACACCGCATCTGCGTTTTGATTCGCAAACGAAGATAAATGTAGATGTCCATGGGTCACAGCATCCACTTACCATCAGGTAGGCTGTGTGCTCGTTTGTCACTCGATCCTATAAAAAAAAAACACATCTGTATTTTTATTTGTAGTATTTTATCCTATGCCTAACTTTGATATGATGATTGAACAATCAACCCTCTTTCATGTGAAAATTTTTGTAAAAAATTTAATTAACTTATTATTATATACATATATCAATAATAATTAACTTTATATTTATTTATTTATTTAATCTTTCATGCACAAAGTTATACATATGCCAGACTTAATGCCATAGGGCATTCTCTCCCAGTCTACCATTAGGCTAAACAGAGATATACAAACAAGAGGCGGTGCAGCAGTAATCAAAATAGAAATCGCTAAAAAATATTGTATATACATATATACATATAAATATACACACGCACACATATATATATATACATATATACTAAAGTACACAAAATACATACATATATAAATACAATATATCTATCGGTAACTAACAAATTTATTACTATGCATTGTACACACTAGAAAAGTAGTTTTATCGGCATTAAGTTTCTCTCCCATCCACTATCTCGTACCTTGTCGTGGATACGAGTATCGTAAGAGGCGACAGAGGAATACTAAAACAGGATATGGGCAGCAGCATCTTGATAACAACTGAAAATAATAATAAAAACTGAAGTTATCAACCCGCTTACCAAGCGTGGCAACGATGGCAAATTCCCCGCTTTATCGTATTTCGTTTCTGACCAATTATAATGATATTAAAAAAAATGCAATTGAGTTATTTTTTCATTCATGCATAGTTAAATATATAAATAAAATATTTGTTTATAGACGAAACGGTCGTAACAGAGGAATGGAGGGCGGTAGCGGCGTTGTATACAGAGTTGTTGGACGCACGCGCAGCAAGGCAGACTGTGGACAGCAAACGGAACGCCAGCCTCCGACTCCGCGTCAAGACACCACTTGGAAGAAATATACCGATTCGCCCGGAGTAGGTGCCCCACCCTTGGTAATCATTTGCTTGTTCTATAAGAATCTTTACACTACATATCTAAATTAAAAACAATTTCTTTAAAACATATTCGGTTATTCTCGGTAACTTTTACTACGTTGAATAATTTGTAAGTTTTATGATATTAGAATGACAAACGAGATATGAGACCGTTCAAAAGTAAGTAGCTACTGCAGCCAATGAATAGCTGCAATAATCGAATTGTAACGAAGAAGGCTCCTGTTGTAAAGTTATAAATATTTTATTGTAGAATCAACCTGCTCCAGCTCCACCGAGTCCATCGCACGGACGCAAAAGCGACCGACGAACGGGACACCATTCGCCGCAACATCACAAACGTGAAAAACTCACCGCCGCCCAGCAACTTGGTATCGCACCTCACCCTCAGGTACCCTAAAAACTAAAAAAAACACGTTTTTGTAGATAACCGAACTAAAAAGTAGAAAATAATTTTCAATAAGTTTAAAATAAGAACATAGTGATTAACATTAAAAAAAATCATTTTATTGTAAAAAAGCATGGCGTGCTTTCTCAGATATTTTTGTGATGACGCTAATTTTATAAATATCTGCAAAAATATTTACAACAAATGACATCAAGCTACATATATACATAATATTATTTATTATTATTGTAAAAATATCTACCATGTGTTACAAATGCGATAAACCTTAAGAAATTAATATTCGACATATTAATTTCTTAAGGTTTATCGCAATTGTAGTAGTACAGTGCAGTAGACTATCGGTGTGCTGATAGTGTTAAAGTTTATTATTTATTGGATAATATTTACAACACATGTATGGATAAAATTTTATAATGGCAGGACAAACAAAAAATAGATAAATATTTATATGGAAAAGGAATCGTTTAAACTGTTTTAAACAAATGAATTGATGTTTATTGGATGTGAATAATTTAAATTTCACGCAAATTCAATGAAATATAAAATAAATAATATATGATCCGTTATTCACAATGAGGTTGAGTTTGCAAATGGAATTAAAGACCGGATCAGGTGAAGTTATATTTTAATATAACAGTCCCCTTATCATTTTATTATTGTAATAAAAAAGCTGAACAATAATAATTTATCCGTTATATATGCTGTTTGTTCATCATAAAGGTGGAATTCCTACAATTGAGGTAAAAACCTCCTAACCTACTGACCCAGGCTGGGTCGACGACACAGCCTGAGAATAACTGCAATGCCAACGTCCACTAACGAGATGATACTCATCGACCACTCTGAATTTTCGTATGCGAAACTATTTTCGCAATGCAGTATAATACATGAATGCTTTGTTTTCAGTATGCGGCATCAAATTCTTCCAGTCAACATTCATCGAGGGGTGGTGGAGCTCAGGTGATTATTTATTTATTTTAATAATTTCTGTATACTTAGGTTATGGGTTTCGAGGTATAAGGGCTTACTAACTATTGGCAATTTGAAGAATATAATTACATTAATTGTAAATGCTTTCGTATGATACCCAGTTTTATTCTATTTCGTATTTAGAGAAATAAATATTAATTACAACTTTAGATAGTAAATGTCGTTGCTACCAATTACGTTTCATCATCATCATAATTACAGCTAATCACAAGTCCGCTACTGAACATAGGATACCTTCCCCAAGGAATGCCATAAAAGTCAAGAGCTAACTTTAAGACTAAATATATATATTTCAAAAAAATCATCGAAAATGCTCTTCCGAAACCACAGAACTGATCGAGTAAGAACAATTATGTATTTTTGCCAGAGTCTTGACGGAACACTGCTGATTGAAAACGCACATGTCTTATCTGGGACTTAGCAATTCAAGGATGTGTATACTATAAAATATACTATATATATTTTATATTAATATACTATAAAAAACGTCACAACTAACCAAATCCTGCAATTCATTGAAAGTGTAGGGCTTAGTGGTGTATTAACCTAAGCAGCGATCTAAGTACTGTCCACAGTGATTCTGGCCTTGTAAGAACTGAAAGGACTGAAACTGAAAGGACACTATACTAAAAAAAAGCAATACAAAATAACCTGACTAGATGATTTGTTGATTTCATTATAATGTCATTTTTACTTAGGTAATAATTTGTAGAAATTGTTAAATAAAGTAAATAAAATATAAACATCATCATCATCACTATAAAGTCTCCTGTTAGACATGGATGATTTTACTCATTCCACGTGGTAGAGAGATGCTGCAGGTATATTATGATTGCAGCACGAATAGGTCGGCTCGACCGGGGTAGGAGCACGCTCTCACAGAATACCAGCGTAAAATAGCAGCTTAATGCTGCTGTGTTTCGTATGACGAGTGTAGACAGCCGGAAACCCTTTTTACTGGAAACGAACATTCTATCGCAGTCCTCACGGGTGACAACGCATCTGCATCATGATTATTAATTGAGGATAAATATAGATGTCCATGGGCCACAGCATCCACTTACCATCAGGTGGACTGTGTGTTCGTTTGTTGGGTCACAGCATCCACTTACCATCAGGTGGACTGTGTGTTCGTTTGTCACCCTTATTCTATAAAAAAATCTCTCGGGTTGATTAGATATATAGCCGTTGTTACCCTTGCGCTTACACTGTTGTTCTCTATAACTAGTCTCTTAGATATTCACTATAATAAGATGAAGTTTGGGCCGTAAGTCAATAGTCGTTGGCATTTTGATGTAAGTAAAAAATTACATAATATTCCCCTTATAAGGTATTATTATTTAAATCGTGTATACAGTGTTTTTATTATTATACTAGCTGTTACCCGCAACTTCGCCCTCGTGTAATTTATGGTTTTAATTATGTTGCGCGGAACCCTAGTTCTTTTTATAAAATATAAGTAGCCTAAGTTACTCCTTATAACATCAACTATTTACCAGTGAAAGTCCCGTCGAAATCGGTCCAGCCCTTTCAGAGATTAGCCGGAACAAACAGATAGACAAAAATTTTAAAATTGTGTTTTTATTATAAGTACCGTATATACTTTCATATACATTTAGTAAAAAGCTGTTATTTTGACATCACAAACACACTTCAATTTTATTTATTTGTATAGATTAGTAATTATGTGTTTATAAAAAAATGATATCTTTCAATACACATTTTTATAATTAATATAATATTTTCAGTTGCAGTCACCAAGTGGCGCCTCGTCTCGTCCTTCAAGCGTGTCTAGCGGTGGGAACGGAAGCAATTGTTCATCGAGCAAAGCGAAAGCGCCTCAAAGCTTTGGTTACGTGAAAAGACAAAATGGCGCGCAGCCACCGCCTCCGCCAGCTAATGGTCCTCCGCAACATGGACATGGTGAGAAATAATATAATCTTTATCTATACTATGTCAAGTTACTAAAAAAAAATGTGCGTGTAATTGTACACATCTACTAAGTGAAACATCTTAACGAAATATCATTCTTCTTTTATTTGATATTTTACATAAGTAGGATACTCGCATGAGTATCTTTATCTAAGAAGGCTGCAAAAAGAAAATAACAAAATACTGATTAGCAACTAGATAGAACATCATAATTTTTTTATGGTTATATCATTTTGCAAAACAAAACAATGTTTCAATTTGATTTTTTTAACGTTTTCTACCATTATGGTGTTTACCAAATTTTTGGGTAGTTTATTATCTTTTACTTTTTTTTTCTTAAATAACATTACCTCCACACTAGGATTTTCTCATGTATCGTGGGGACATTTTACTTACATAAATTTCACAAGAACAAACATCCAGACCCGGAACATTTATTTGGAGGCCATACAAGTACTTGTTCGGTACGGGTTTCGAACCCGCGGGCTTTGTCGCTGCAACTTTTCTAAGCCACTGTGCCACGGAACCGTCGAACTAATCGATTAACTATATAACTGGCCGTTCTCTTACCGTATCTATTGTTTGACCGTATATTATCGAGTAGATTTCGGGACAGCATAACCCCGGCGGTGAAACATTACAAGAAAACGTGACCTTATTGATTTTAATACCTTTATTAAATTTCTCCACTATGTCGATAAAGAAGTTTCACTTCAAAAATAGATACTTTCATACTGAAATAGGTTGGGCTGTGAGCTATGAGCAAGAAATATGATGAAGAACCGTTTTGACAATTACTAACTATAAAACCGTTGGAAGTTACAACAGTACAGGAAATATTACTCGTTGAGGGTTGAGAGTGCGCACAAGATTTCAAGCGTTCACACGTACGTTTTTTTGTGAGAAATATCTAAGTGGGAATTGCAGGGATTATAATAACTTATATGAGATATGTATTGTCGATCTTATGGCCAATATTATAGACAGCTATAACAACATGCATTTGCATATATATGTTTAGATTGCATATTATGCATAGAAATGCAGATGCTTAATCGTGTCGTAGGTCGGTAATCACAAATATATAGCAATTTGGAAGCAAATTTTAGACAAGCTACGTTAGTTAGACATTTCAAAAAATAAAGACAATCTCATAGTTGGTATTAAATGCATGTACTAAAAAGATTACTACTAAAGACATCTATCTGTAGTTAGACGTTTCAAAAAATAAAGACAATCTCATAGTTGGTATTAAATGTATGTACTAAAGAGATTACTACTAAAGACATCTCATTTAGGCTTTGTCAGTACACATTTGGTACTGACAAAGCCTAAATGAGTTGATCCTGAATTGGGCCAGTTGAAGACAGTAAAACAGCAGCCAACTGTGCCATAAGTGTAAATAGAATCAAAAGAAGCTGCTTGTATGTATAAGGAAGACCTGAATTTTACATTACATTTTCTTGATATAATTTGTTTTGATTTGCGAAACAACTATTATCATTGACGCAGAAACAACTATTGCTGTAAGAATATTGTGAAGAATTGCAAACGGTGATCACTGTCAAACGATTAACGACACTTGCACACTACTTTCTCAAAACAATACACGTAACTCATACACAAACTGCGCAACAGACTGTCTTAAAATCACAGGAGCTTCAACTGGAAACACCCGGCTCCCGCTCGCTTCTACTTATTATTTGTTTTCGTATTGGGATAACTTTTTACAGAAAAAAATTAAACTTCGACGAGGCGGTGTAAATCTCCATTAAACAGACCACCGATACTCATTCCTAGGATTTGTATAGTCTGGGACATCAATCAACAAACTGTTTGCATTTTTTAATATGTGACGGAATTTTATAGATAAGGACCTAATAAATAAATAGATCTTGCAACTTGCCATTTGAGAAATAGGTTTTAATCACGTGAAATATAATTGATTTAATTTGCACATGTAATATATGATAATGTTTAACGTTCTCAGTTTATATATTTATCACATGTTTTAGATTATTATTCATTTCTTGACCAAATATCCCTAAAAAAAATTGTTTACTACGTTGCTTGAAGTTAGTCTTAGTAATATATTGTTCATATTCTATTTTAGGTGGAAGAACTGCTCAAGTATCTGCTGTTCCGAGAACGAAAGTCAAAGTATCGGGTGGAACGCAAACATGCACACAAGATCTACAAATACATAGTAAGTTTATTAAAATACAAATTACTGAGTACTATTAGACGTAGTGACAACTTAACGAAACACGCAAGTAGGCGATGGATGGAGGTGACTCAGGAACGTGCTTTGTGGCAATCGATGGAGGAGGCCTATGTTCAGCAGTGGACTTGTAATGGGCTGTAGCGATAGACAGAGAAGTACTATTAGTGCTATTGACGCATTAAACTATTAAAGTATCTTTTAAAGCTCTACAAGCATGTGCAATATTATGCGTATCAAAAATCTGATCACACCAAAAATATAAAAAGAAAATTTACCGTCGTAGGCGATTTCTCTCGAAGTCTATAAATATTTTTTATTACACACTAGCTGGTACCCCGACCGTTATTGCCGCAGAGAAAATAATTGTGGAAATATCGTTTTAAATTTAGAAGAGTTATACTCATATATTGTTCAATAATTTTTACGTGCTGTTATAGTTGTAGCACGACTGGGTTGGCTCGACCGGGGAAGGACCACGTTCTCACAGAATACCAGCGTAAAATAGCAGCTTAACATTGGTGTGTTTCGTATAGTGAGTGTAGAAAACCGGAGACTCTTTTTACTTGAAAAGAGGCATTCCATCTTAGTCCTCACGAGTGACAACGATTCTTTATTGAGGATAAATGTAGATGTCTATGGGCCACAGCAACCACTTACCATCAGATGGACTGTGTGCTCGTTTGTCACTCGATCCTATAAAAAATAATAATAAGGAATAATAATACATTCACTGAAATTGTATGATATAATATATAACTTTCAAATAATTTGTCGGTACGATATGCGCGCCACCTAGTGTATGTTAATTTCACTATGCCTATAACCTTCGAGCAAGTGCTAACAATAAGTTGACAAAGTTTTACCGCAATCTGATGAACGGTATGGCAGCGCATAAAATACGAACAAACAAACAAACAATATTTTATTTATAATATTTTTGTACATTAGATAACCCACCTATTACATTATCTCGCTACACCTAGGGTTGACTGGGAGTAGGCAGTAAACTCTCTTTATAACCTTTGCATATAAAGGAAGTCAAATAATCTATAGAAGTAAATAAAATTGAACTATCTGTCTGTAAATCGAAATATCCTTTTATTGTCTTTTATTAAAAAGGGTTATTTATGCTTGTCATTAAATCATGAATAACCATTATGATTTCTTATATTTACGCGAATACTACACATGGAGTAAAACTAATTTTACGGATTTTCTCACGTTTAATTTTAACTTTTTTAATACCCGACGTTTCGGGCACTTTACACCACCCAAAGTCACGGGGCGGGAGGGGAGGGGGGGGGGGACTGAGTTGTTTGACATCACAGTTAACGAACTTTAACTTTTAATTATTAATTTTTGGTCCGATCTACTCATAACGAGTGTACAGTATATTGAAGTTGAAGTCTGACAGTAGTAAAATCAATTGTAATAAAACTTAACGAATTGACAGAGCGCAATGTCAGGAGTGATCTAGGCAATTTATTATCGGATATTTAAAAAAAAACACGAAAAATTTATAACATAACTTGTCTTTACCCAGGCGAATCCGGGGCGGATAGCCAGATTTTTTTTATAGGATAGGGGTGACACACGAGCACACAGTCCACCTGATGGTAAGTGGTTGCTGTGGCCCATAGACATCTGCATCTATCCTCGATTACGAATAAAAATGCAGATGCGTTGTCACCCGTGAGGACTAAGATGGAATGCCTCTTTTCCACTAAAAAGGGTCTCCGGTTCGCTACACTCACCATACGAAACACAGCAGCATTAAACTGTTATTTTACGCTGGTATTCTGTGAGAGCGTGGTCCTTACCCGGTCGAGCCGACACTTGTACTACAACTATACCAGTAATATAGCTGCAGCACGGCTCTACCATGTATAAAAATGTAAATACAATCTTCGATAATAAATCAAGATTTAGTTTGATACTGTAGTCATTACCGATAAATGAAATTGTAAAACGACAAGACTCAGTTAATTAAAGATCCTAGTTTGCATCATTTTTGATGAATTGCCAAAGATCGCAACACTATACATATAAGCAGGAATAATGACGGCCAATACAATGCTACAACACATTCTACCAAAGTTTTATTATTTCCTCGTTCAGGTAGATTCATGCATTGGCTATCCTTTTAACTGTGGCTATAGTCAGTAGGTTATGAAAAATATTGTGTGTAAGTGCAACACTATTACTACATAGTACTACGTATGAGGAAATATTTTTTAATGTTTTGCATTTACTTTTATTTTTTACCTGTAATTACTTCGAAAGTAGGCAAAAGATACATAATGTGATAATAATATAATTGCATAATGCATCGCTATATTTCAGAAAACGGCATTGGACCTAAATCGTATTCACTGGGCGGGACAGCAGCCGCGCAGCTTTCAGCATCGGTACGGGAACGACTCCTTGGTTCACAATCTTTACCGAAGCCAGGAACCCATGAATTCGCCGCTTTGTTCCATCATCATAGGTAAAGTGTAGAAATATAATTTGTATTATCAATAACTGTAACTACGAAAATGTCTTTTAAACGTGTTAGCGCCATGCTTGCACAGAATATAAGCGTATAATGATAGCAGCACAATGCTGCTGTGTTTATTGTACCTATAGTGACGAGAAACAGATACCCTTTTTATTGGGAATGTGGCATTCCATTTTAGTCCTGACACCCCGAGAATGTCTGCATTTTTAGTAGTAGTAACTGACATCTCATAGCATCCACTTACCATCAGGTAGACTGTGTGATCGTTTGTCCCTTACCTCTATGAAAAAAAAAAAACGTGTGCGTTTCACGCGCGGAAGAAGTGAAACTTTCAAATGAAATGCAATAATTAAAAATATTTCACAGCATTATTAATTAAATATGATATTTTCAATCACAAGTGCGGCATAAAATATAAGATAAATAAGTTTAATTTTATAGCAAATACATGTTAAAATACTTATTTTAATATCTACTTGAGTGTTTCTAGTTAGTTTGTGGACATATAGAGACTAAATTTTAGTGTAATAAATCAAAAGAATATTTTCTTTCGAGTAAAATTGCTTTGCAAAGCTTTGCAATATTTCATTCTACAGGGTAAAGTAATTTTATCGAACAAAAATTGATTGACTCTCAAGCTGGAACGTAAAATAGACGCTAGATGGCCTAAACACGACTAATTTAATATCTATCTCATTCTCTCGCAGCCTTAATCCTATAGATGTATATGTTTGTCTCTTTTCAATGTCGCTTTTTTGTTTCATCGAGTTTTAAATCTAAAGAAGTTTTCACTTCAAAAATCGTACGTTGGGCTATGTTAGTTATTCTGTTTTACTGCGGATTCTTTCATTTTAAATTCTATTATTGAGAGAAACTTCAAGCATAGCCCTCTCCATAGCTCGCTGACCGGCCTTAAGATTCCTCAAATGGCCTGCAGTGTATATCGTCGCTGGGATATACAGATGGCATATAATTCTGAGATGGTTGTACAATGTTTACACTAGTTTTTAAGATTTTTGGTCGAAGATGGACTTTCCTATCCGGATAATTTGCACTTTTTAAACATATTCGTCAACAACTTTGTTCATAGTGTTCCCAACAACTACCAGCATAAGTATGACATGGACGATATGCATAAACTTTGTCATGTTTACCTATCCGTTTGAAGAAGCCATAATTAAGCATTGTGCTGAGGTCTTAAGCAATTCTGCCAATTATATCGTCGGTACTCGCCATTGATGTCGATACTGTATCCCTTCCAGTCCAGTAGCTTGACAACATCTTAACCCTTTTGCTGTCCCGTGCACTACATATAGGCCATTGCTATTGTCTTACTAATTGTGTCTGAAAACCGGACGGTGAAAGTGTTAAAATGCAGCGATGAAGAGTTTCCACTTACCTGTAGGAAGTTGGATATTATTATATATCGTACCCTTATACTTATAAAGTTATAGTTACTTAATATATTTTTAAACCGGAACATGTGCTTCTTAGCGGAAGAAATAGGTAAAAATCCAGAAAAGGAACTTTACCACCTAGCAAAAGTTGTAAAATAAACAATAAACAATTTGTAATCATTTAGCCTCTAGATACAATACACTACTCATTCACACCATAAAATGAGTTTGTTTCTTATGTCAACCAAGGTCTGGAATATATTGTGACATCATTTTAATTAATTTAAACTCGCCTTGCGTCAGTCATTCAGTCAGGCCTCTTAGATTATAATTTATCGTCTGACAGTACAATTAACTAATAAATGAAATGATTCACGGCAACGTGAAAGAGCCAATACACAAAATTTATTTATTATGTATATTTTAATGGAAGACTCAATAACATAAACGTTTTAAATTTTTTATTGCAGACCGTATCAAACATTTTAGAATTTGTATAAATTCTGCACATTTTAGGCTCTCGTCGGCATATAATCATTCCGATAATGACAAATAATTTTTATCTTTTCTATTCCTTGACATTGGTGCATTTCTCTAATACGAGACTAGCCATGCGATCGCTTTTCTAGACGCCTAACACCTTAGACATCAGATTTTATGACAGTTTATGTCTTTCAAATTTATGAATTATGCGTAACATTGCTACAGTTGATGTTGTGAGATTTAGTTTGATATAAGGGGTTATTTTTTAAAGAGTAGCCAAATTTTATATTTAATTTCAAATATATAAATAATGAAATACCGTTATTGCAGTTTCTGAAACTAAGAGTAAATAAGGCTTCTACTTTTATTTGAAATTATCCCAAATTGAATGTGATTTATGGGCAACAACTACGCGTACGTGTTGTGCGATTCAATTCACAACGTTTTTGTGCCGACCGAGCGACCCCTATGAATTTGTGCGTGCATAGTAAAATAATAGATTACCACACATACGCATTCTGAATTTAAAAGATAAAACGAACAGAATGTTTGAGATTTTTTAAATTAATTTTTCTTCACCATTTGCCTACATTACTTACTCTGAACCTTTCTCAGTAAATTGGGCGCTTATTTCAAAATAACTCTGTATATTTTGCGTTTGATATTAACGGAGCATGTATTTGTAAAAAAAAAAAAATTCCGTAGTTTAGTTTTAATGTGTCTCTCAAAACTGTAGTGATTTTTTGCTGGATTAAAAAACGTATTATTTATATGCATGTACATATGTATTCCTTGTCAATAGGCGATAGGACTCATCTTCTGTCTACGAATCCGTCTGTATAGGTACTACCACCCTTTTACCCAATTTTGCCGCCAAATAACAATGCTTGCACAGCTGTGCTCCGGTCTAAAGTGTATAGGGAGCCAGTGTAATTACAGGTTGCGGGGTTTTTTTTTTCATCTTAGTCTTCAGGAGTGACAAGACAACGCATCTTTAGCCTTCTTTGTTTGAAGTAGGCAGGCGCCCATGGATAGCAGTAGCCACTTTCCATCAGGTGGACTGTGAATTCGCCTTTAACTAGATTTTTTTTGGAATGAAGTTCCTTATCGGACAGTACGAATTTGGCGGATGGGGGCTAGGCGAGAAAAAGTATAAGATATTTCCGTCACCGATCCCTTCTGACGTAGTGTAGACGGCCTTCGCGTTTATAAGGAAGCGAGATGGAATAATATCCATCATCTTGCCATGAAAGAAAAATTATTTTATTTTAAACGACGCTTCATTTTAATAGACGCTAGTAATTCATTTATTTGTATTTGATAATCAATAATATAATACGTTTATCAATAATAATATACTAAGAAAGGAACTTTGTTCCAACCGAATGTTCCACGATACTCACACATGTTTTTTTTTTCAAAAATTTCTCGTACTACGTTTATATTCTTAGATATTTCTAATATATTATATATTTAAAGCGTAGTTTAATGTTTCGTACTGTAACTTGCTTTCATGTTTTATGTTCTTTTTATTATTATTGATATCCAACTAGTGACATGACATGCAGGCAAATAAATTTTATCAGTCGTATAGCTTATTTGAACAACTTTGAGGGTCTCTTATCTCATGGGAATCATATTCAGTTATGTCTCTCTTTCTGTAAGCATCGTTTCCATGTATGCAGGCATTGCAAGACGCATTTTTAACCACTTTTTGTAATTTGACTCGTAAAACGGTTTTATTAATGTGTGTTTATTTATAACAGAGTTACTCCAAGAGGTGGCATGAAGATCAGTGATGGAAGTCTATCTGATACACAAACTTACTCCGAAGTCAAATCAGATTATGGCATACCATATGCGCCCTGGCTAAGACACAGGTATCTACCGCATATGTAAATATTTATTAAATTTCCATGTATGAATGTGAGTGGTGTGTAAAAAATAACGATATTTTAAACATATGTGTATATCAATCGACGTGTATGTGTTTATTGTATTATCAATCATCATTTGTCACTCCTTTACCGTATCTCCGTATCCTATATGCTTAAAATAATGTGTGTGCATTTTGTGTAATTAAATCTGGTTTGGAATTAACACAAAGTGTGACACACAACTATGTATCATTTTTACATGCTTCTGCTGCCCCTGCAATTTTGGCCAGTTGTACATTCATTAAAAAATATAAACGCAACTGGCCAGCATGTCACACCTTCATTTCTTTCCCCCATTTCAGCAACACATATTCGGCAAGTGGGCGCCTGTCTGAGGGCGAATCGATGGAGTCGCTCACTTCGCTGCACTCGGCGCAGGCGCACAACCATACCTCATCCCCTAACTCACACCACCGCAGCTCACTTACACACAATAAGCTCATCATGCACCGAGAGGCTCAAGGCTCAAGGCTTAACAGGAGCAACAGCATTAGGTGGGTTTTTACAGTCCTCTCACTGCCTGCGTCAGCTGCAGGAGCTTTATATCGCTGTGGGGTTTTGGATTTTAAACAAATGGGTATTTTTTAATAATGATAAGTAAAATTTAATACATGAATTACTCATTCAATCATACGTCCATTCCGCTTTTCGCTATAACCTATAAATCAATTTAAACTCATTACTGTTTCTTCATTTTATTCATATATGTATAATATAATCAAATACATATATATGTATTTATATAATTTTGTTTATTATGCATTTCACGCAATAGGGATCTAAAATTTTCTCATATAATGCTAAGTTTGGATTGTTGATTACATTTTAGCTATCTCAGAGATAGGACATTTCCAAGGTACGCCACACAAGGTTGGGAATTTATAATTGTTTTGGCTTCGAGGTGACACGCTTTACACGAAATATTACTTACTATATATGCATGTTTCTATCAAATGTGGCACGGCTTTTGATATACAATAATCAAATTTTCTTGTCTCATCAGTGCTGTTGAAAGTGATCGCTACGTCATTTGTTATTTTTGCCACATACTATTTTATTTTAATTCTAAAAACACAGGCCACTTTAAAAACAACTCTACGTTGCACACATAGTTTTATTTTTATCGTGAACAGTATACATTGCCTATTTCAGTATTTTTCGAAATAATTGGCTTCTATCGTCGATCTGCTAAACCCTTGTAATGCAAATGGAAGTCATGACGTGGTATTTGCTACAACTATGTGACTTTATTTTTATATATTTAATATAAGTATCATTCCAGATCAACTAAGTCGGAGAAATTATACCCATCAATGCTTCAGAGATCTTCGGAGAGTGACTATGAACCCTATTACTGTTTACCAGTGCAATATGGACCAGGAGGACAAGGTAACTTCATTATGAATTAATGTAACATTCAAATTTAAAATGCTTAGAGATATTCTTTTATTTACACGTAAAATTTTCATTAAGTGTAACCTATTATATCAACAAAATACTTCAATTCTCATATAATTATATAAGCCGGCGCCTAGATGTTCAAAATTTTATCTTAAATTTATGATAATTTTAATAAAAGTATTTTAAATTTCTTTTAGGTCTAAACTATGGTGTCTCGGAGCCACCATCGCCATCTCCAAGATCAGCTTTGAGTCCCACACACCAACCCGGCAACGTCATGCATACTCCCAGACATTCCCATCACTATCCGAAGAAAAACGACGAAGGTGAGAACTATTATTAACATTTATTAATAATTTGTATTTTATAAATTACTATTTTAAGAAAATAGTAGCTGAGATATTCACTACGAAAGGAGTTCATCGCGTACATATCAATAAAAGACAAATTCGATTTTTTGTTTATCCCGATAATTTATGTAGACAGTGTTACAGTCTCAATATCATCATCACATAGTATATTACAGATCACTGCCCCAATCGCCACGCTTGGTTTGCGATTTGGTGATCGCTTAGACATCAACAGTCTGAGTATTTTATTAATTCTGACGATTTTCAATATTAAACATATTGAAACACATTTCACCACCGGAAGTCATCATACGCGATTTTTCAGACATTTTCCTGTGTCAATTTTTTACGGAAAAATAAATCAAGGCGTAAAATTGCAATAAACAGTTTATGTGGTCCCGATATTGTTATCGAGACTACATAAAGTTTATGTGGCCACTCTATACTATAGAGAAATAACCATATATGCAACACTTTGCAGCCGGATTGGTGATATCGCAGTTCGAGACATCATCATTAAAATTATAACACATTTAAAACTGTTATTTCGAAGTCTAAAGATCTTTTGGGTAATATCTATTAGTTAAATTTTAAGACACAGTATGATAGATTAGGCTGCCAAAAATACACTATTTTTGTATAGTATAGGGTGACAAACTATGATCAATGAATATCTCGTCATCTTTACAGCCATAGACTGTCGTAAAGCATGAACCTGAGCCACCTGCATTCATAGATTTCCTGCATGTTTCATCAGACTTACACCATCCAGTGAGATTTAAGAAAAGAAAGCTATACCTATAATATTTTTTTTATTAGAAATAATATAATATAATAAGTATGTAGGTATTATATTTCTTATTTATTAACTAAATTTTATCTTTGTATTTTACTATTTAGTACATGGTTCAACAGCATCGCTTGTGTCAACGGCCTCATCACTAGCCGCCGGTGCGGGCTCCGAAGAACGACAAGCTCATGAGGTAAATATGAAAAAACTACAGTAGAAATGGGAAATTGTTTTGGGAATCGAACCTCTTTATTTTACACTTGCAATGCTAGACATGGGCCTCTTCTATTATGGGATGGCCACGCGCCATGCTTAGAATGCGATTTCTCATAGTTGTACCAGTTTCTTGCACTTTATACGTGTGAGAGTATAAAGTGTATATATGTACAGTGCCAGTGTCAAAATATGTGCAGCGTATTACTAAAATTAAGAGAGATTTTTGTCGCCTTAGTACTATTTTTATAAAAAAAAAATCAAAAGTAATGACTTATGTATAGGGACAAGAGATGGATATTATAGTTATAACACCACTTCTATAGTATGTAGATTTTTAAAGTTATTAGTTGATAACTTTGTTCTCTCAGAATAACTAGTGGGATGCGGGAAGTAAAGACTGCGTAAGAACCTCCGAAGGAGGCGGAGTTACAGCCGAAATAAGAATTTTTAATTTTTTGGTTCTTGGCCATTTTGACCTCCTAGGAGTGTAATGAGAACTTTTTGCTCCTATTCAACCATGAACCCCATGATATCCTCTACGTCAGTGGTTTCCAAAGTGGGAGGCGCGCCACCTAGGGGGGGCGCAGAGACCTGCAAAGGGGGCACGAGCTAGCTGCGTAGTTAGGGACCTTACGACCGAAAAACGTCCATAGGAAGGTGCACTGTATGTACACCGAAAAAATTGTTGAAACAATGTTTTGGGCCAAATATTTCATAATTTATTCCAAAATAGTAGAGGAAGCCCTTCAATCATATTTACCCATTTCCTGTACATATTTTTGCGAAAGGAGATTTTCTGCTATTGTAGCAATAAAAAGCAAGTCCAGATATAAACTTACTCGTAACATCGATAGTGCTTTGCGTTGTGCGATTTCTGTTGTTAAGGCGTGAATCGGAAACCTCGTTAAAACCATGCAAGCTCATTCATCTACATTCGATTAAATAAGAAGTAATATGTATATTTAAGTAGTTTTTATATGATATTATGTAACTTTTAAGCATTAAAAATTTGATGTTATTGAACAGAACTACTTTTTTCTAACCTGATAAAATTATCTGAGCAAGGGGCGCGGATATTTTTTTTTTTTGGTAGAAACGGGGCGCGTCAGAAATAAGTTAGGGAACCACTGCTCTACATGATAGGCTATTCAAACTGACTAGGCCCAAAGTTCGAGTCACCTCCCAACTCATTTCTAGTCTTTACTTCAAATAATAACTTAAACTGGATAAACTTTTTTAGATCATTTCTATATTAAATATTAAGAAGATTTAAAATTATTAAACATTGAAGTATTTTAATGAAGTAATTGAAATAAAAATAAAGTGTTCGGTAGCATTATATCGCATGCTTAATGGAACAATGACCCATTATGAAATATGTCGGAATTGAGTTACGTACAGATACAGACTTCATTTAGCGCCATCTAACGTCTACCGTTTGAATTACGTTGAGGTTACGCATTGTTGCCGCCCTAGCGATATATCCGTCTCTTTCACACTTGTGGGATCTGTCATCATGTTTTCGTCGAAAAGCGACTCATGCCAGTTTGTGTCCGACATCTGTGTAGTGAGGCGATAATTATTTTATTGAACGAAGACCCAATCGTTGTTGAGTGTGTTTACAACTAAATTCAAAGGTAAGTTTCATCAAATCGTGTAATCTTATATTGACAAATTAAATTTTAGGTCAGTTTACTACATATTTTATTGATATATTATGTGAAACATTCAGTTTTAAGCCAGTTTATCATTGAACGTTGTTATACTTTTCGAGCCCCATTACGAGTTAAGTCAGTTTACTATTAAAACCTATCAATTATAAAAGGTAACACTTTGTAATATTCAAGTTTAAGTCTGTTTATTACTAAAGGTTATTGTTACATAAGAGCCGCAATATTAGCTAAGTCTTTGTTTGAAAAAAAATGAATGTAATATAATGCGTAATTTTTTCATTGCCTGTATATGTTTTATGTTAAGTCATTGTTGGTCTAAATTTTGTACAAGAGGCATAATATTACTATTTATGTTTTAGGTTGATAATGGCATCCAACAGGTCGAAAAAGATGATAGAGCTTGTTCAGGTTCGAAACCCGGCGCCACAACCGGCAACACAAGTTAGAGAACATGAATCGGTGCCATCAACTGAAGTGGAGGTAACAATTTCAAATAACTTTAAAAATTAGGTTTGTATTAATCTTTTATTTATTTTATTACTACTAAAATACGTTTTTTTTGTTATAGATGTTAGCTGATATAACAAACAAGCCCGAAAATCAGCGTTACTCAAACGTACAGCAATATTTTGACATTTCGGAATCGGCTTCAGTCAGTAATGAAAATCATCTTCATAACACCACAGTTGTTCAGGATTGCACTGATGGGAGACATTCAAAATCTGAAAATAGCGATGTCGATTTAAGTGACGAAGATCCAACATACAAAATTCCGTCTAACAAGCAACGGCAAATACCAGTATATCCAAGGCGATCAAAATCATCTAAAAGTTCCTCATCTTCTACGTCTTCTTCATCCTCATCATCTTCAGGATCTTCCAGTGATAGTTCCGAAACAGACTCTAGTGATGAAGAGAACAAAACACAAGATAACATAGTTCAAGTAACCGCAGAAAAACAATCCGAGCTAATAAATATTAATGAACCTGCAACAACAGAAGTTTCGCTGAATCAAGAAATCGGAGAAAATACTACACCACAAGAAGAAAAGAAGAAGGGAAGGAAACGTAAACGGAATGAACAAAGCTGGAAACAGAATGAAGCTAAAAGTCTGAGAAATGCTGGAAAACCATACATTAGCAAGAAAAATAAAGAAATCAAACCTCGTTCTGTTCAACCACCCTGTGGTGATAAATGTAGGCTCAAATGCTGTAAAAAGCTAACTGTAGATCAAAGACAAACAATTTTTGATGTGTATTGGAATCTCGGCCAAGTTGATGCTCAAAGATCATTTATTATATCGTGTATGACAAATATAAATATACAAATGCACATAATCCAAGAAATTGCAATTAAGCATTCCATTTCTTAGTAGAAGGGCAATCGGTACGAGTCTGTAAAACGTTTCTTATGAAAACCTTAGATATTTCTGATCGTGTTATACGTACTGTCAAGAGTAAAATAGACGAACATGGAATTCTAGCACGAGATCTGAGGACAGCACAACAACCATGTAAGGGTTGATGAACAGTTACTAAACGATATCAAACAGTTCATAGATTCAATACCAAGAATTGAATCCCATTATATTAGGCAATATTCTACTCGTGAATACATTGATGGTGGGAAAACAATTTCAGATCTTTTCAGGGACTTTAAAGAAAATCAAATTAAAAATAACAAAACAGGTGGTAGATATTGCACATTTTATAAAGTATTTACACAAGATTATAATATTTCATTTTTTCGTCCCAGAAGAGATCAATGTGATTTATGTTTGCAATACAAGAACTCGACGCCTGAACAAAAAGTATTGCTCAAAGAATCGTACGATGCCCATTTAGAAGAAAAAACATTGAGCCGCCAAGAAAAACAGTATGATCGCTGCAAAATAGACGATAACAATAAAGTTCTTGTGTTTGATCTGCAAGCTGTTCTGCAATCTCCTAGAGGAGATACCTCAGGATTTTATTACAAATCAAAATTGAATAGTTACAATTTCACAATTACGATGTTAAATAAAAAAGTAGACGGCCAAATTAAAGACTCGTATGATGGTGTACACTGCTTCTTCTGGAACGAAACCGATGCTAAACGCGGGGCCAATGAAATCGGATCTTGTTTGCTAAAAGTTTTTGAGAAACTCTCAGCGGAGTCACCAAATGACAATGGGTGTAATTTAATTCTTTATTCTGACAACTGTGCCGGTCAAAATAAAAATAAATTTATAGTAGCACTTTACCTGTATGCAGTCACTCATCTAAATATTAAATCTATAACTCAAAAATACTTAATAAAAGGTCATACGCAAAACGAGGGTGATAATATACATAGCCTCATAGAAAAGGAGATAACAAAAAATCTAAAATCGGGTCCAATATATTCCCCTCACCAATATGTAGCCATAATTAAAAACGCAAAGAAGTCTGGCAAGAAATTTTCAGTACATGAACTGACATTTGAGTCGTTTTTAGACTTGAAAAACTGCAAGAAGATTGGGGTTGTAATTTTAATAAAACTAAAGACGGGAGAACTGTTTTATGGAATGAATTAAAGATGATAAAAGTGAGCAAAGATACACCTTTTTCATTTTTCGTTAAAACCTCGTATAAAGACAGTGAATACCAGGAAGTGAGCGTCAGGAATAAAAGGAAAAAAATGCTTCCTCTGTGTGAAATTGTACCAAGTAATGTCTACATGAATAAGCAGGAACTAAGTGAGAATAAAAAGAAAGATCTAAGAGAGCTATTATCAAAAAAATTGATCCCTAATTTTTATTCGGATTTTTATAACTCTATTATTTAAGTGATTAAATATTAGAGATTAACCTGATGACATTCCAAAGACAATTAAAAAAAGGTTCCTTTAGTTTAATTTTGTTCGCTTTAGAAGTTTATATTTTATGTTTTATAGAGATTTAACTAAAGTTGATTATGACATTGTTTTATTAAATAGGTTGGATCACCAAAGTGGGTTGATTTTTTTAACGTAAATTAGAATTTTCAGTTATTTATAGAGTTTTTTTTGTACAATTGGAAATTTTTCCGGCTTGATTTTTAATAATATGTTGATGTATAGAACCTATTAATAAGACTGATACGTTAAATTTGTTATTTTTATCTGCTACTTGTGAAGGTTGCTGCAATAAAGATTGAGGATTATATTTGTCTTTTAATTAATTAAAAAAAATGCCAATATAAGTTTATTTACGATCTACTAATTTGAATAAAGTGACCCAATCTATAAATGTGTTTTACTACAGTAATCATATACAGACTAAATACTGAATTAGTCATTATAAGTAATACATTATTCAAACTGAAACAGACTTAAAAATTAATGGAACATTTGCATTTTAAAATATTTGCTTTAGTTTTTATAAAAAACTGACATAACTTAGAATGTACTTTTTAAAATATTTTTTTTAAAATATGTAGAACTTATTTCCGATTTTTTTTACTCGGATCTCATCAATAGTTAATCATAGACGTTCAAAATACAAGCATTCATAATTAATATAAATCAGTTTTATTTTTATGCATCAACAAGTAGGATAAGTCCTCATAGCAAGATCTTCTTTTGCGATTTCCCAAAAATCGTCTTTTTTGAGTTAAGTCAGTATTCCATTAAGCATGCGATATATACGGAATTTACTTTAGCTGTGCCTAACTACACAGAATAATAAAATGTAATATAAATTTACATTAATTATAATGAAGTATAATATAATATACTTCACATATCTTTTTAAGCACTAAGCCACTTTTGCTAAGGCTTTTCTGAAAAACTCGTGGGTCATTGGTAGAAAATGCCCAAATGCACTAAAGTCCACCAATTATACCTTAGATTTGTAGTATAGATTTTAATAAAAGGAGTGAATAGTACAGGAAGTGTTTTTAGGTATATTAAAAATAGTTTTATCCCTAATATTTTTATTACAAAAGTTGAAAATAATAAAGTACATTTTACCTTTAGGTGCGCAAATTAAGAAGAGAACTGGCCGACGCTAAGGAAAAAGTTCATACACTGACAACTCAACTTACTACAAATGTAAGTAAAATTTTATTTTTGTGTTAACTGAGCATACACCTTTAGATATTTTATTAAAAAGTATAATCCTACAAATGTCTAAAAAAGTATAATCCTAATCCTAAATGTCCCACAGCTGGACACAGGTCATCTTACATTACTAAGAGCATTTCGGAGTGCAAGAAAGAATCCGCAGCGCATTGGCACAACTCACATAATGTGACTTCGAAATATTTTTTAATATCTCAGAATTGCATAATTCCGCACGCTGTATTACGTCACCACCGAGCACGTTGTAAATCATAATTTAAGTTGCAATAAATATGAGTTAAACTTGTTCGTTTTTGTAATTTTTATAAAAAAATTACTATTTCTTCAGTTCTGACGGGCAATTGAACTTGGTTTGCCCACGTTCTAGAATTTTATTAAAGCGAACACTTATCCCTTGTTTTCAGCTTTTTTCATTGCTATGACGTAATATGCTTTTTAAATTAATATACGAAAGAATTCTGTTTTTGTTACGTGCCAGAAATATAGCAATTAAATTTAAATTTAGGAGACCATGATAATTAGATCACCGGCGATTGTTGCTCCTGTTATCGTTTAAGAGTATTAATTCGATGTTGATATGTAAGCGTGATGCGATTTTGTGTGTCTGCGCGTGTGAACTACCACTGAAAATGACGGAACAGTTGCGTAGATGTTGAAATAAACCGCAACTTATTTAAGTCATTTTGCCCATTTAAGTCATTTTGCCCATTTAAGTCATTTTGCCCATTTATGCGCTTTAAGAAGTTCAGTTACTAAGTCAGCGACTCTGAGGGTTAAGATGTCATCAAAATCTCCCAAAACTTTGAATCTTGACGCATCAGCTTAATAAAGAAGTTTTTGAAGCAAACTATTTAAAGGATAATTCTTTGACATTGGAAAAGCATGACTGTACGAATCCAAAACCATCGAAAATACATAGTTTCTCAAACTATAGCCGCAAGACTTATCTAGGCGTGATCGCATTCTTTAAAAAGGGAATACAGTCATAAAATAGCTATAATGTATTATTGATTTTATGTTGAATTAATTACTTTAACATAGAAATAGTTTAAAAATCAAATGTCTGTTTATACATAATATTTATTAAGGTTCAAATACAAAATCACAGAAGATTATCTAGAAGTTAAATAAAGTTAAATAATTTAGAATTATTTTCTCCAAGACTGTAAAATAGGACCTTGGATTTGAATTGGATGAATTTTCATAAGTCTTTTCTTCATATTTTTATTATTTTTCATTGGCCCGTAAAATCTGATGTACTTGAGCCTTTCTCATTGTAGGGAGGATTTGCCCTAATCGCGACATTTTACATCTTACGTGACAGAGATTGTGATACCATTATCTACCAAAAGCCATGAGATATTACTGACATTTCCCAAAATAGCCTTCTACAACACTCACTTCCGTAGTAACTACAGTAGTCTGTACTCTGTACACACGACGCGACACAACTTGTCGCTACTTAAATTTTATTATTTATTTATCTAATACATATAAATTAATATTTGTTTGTTCGTATTTTATACGCTACCATACCGTTCATCAGATTACGATAAAACTTTGTCAACTTATTGCTTGCACTTGCGCGAATTTTATAGGCATAGTACAATTAGCTTATAGTAGGTGGTGCGCGTATCGTACTGACAAATTTATTTGAAAGACATACATCATTCAGTTTCAATGAATGTGTTATATAATTTAAACAATATAGGTAACCTTTCCAAATTCAAAACGCAATTATTTCTTCTGTGATAGAAATGCACCGGGTACCAGCTACTATTATAATAATATTTAAGACATACTGGTTTTTCACTCTTACCTCTTCAAACATAACAGAAGAAAAATTAAAAGTACAATGTATTAATTCACGGCAGGCATCTAAAATTTGTACCAACGCGTTTTTTAAGTAATTGCCGCCTCATGAAAAGGTTGATTTGTATTTAAGTAGTCCAAATTGCTGCCAATTAGGTTAATTGTTGTAATCATATAGCATTCATATAAAATGCGCTTGTCTGTCCGAGACTTGGTTGTTTTTGGGCTTAAGTTTCCTTTTGTTTAGTAGTTTTTGCACTAATTTTGAAATTAAAACAAAAATATTTTTTTCTTTTTAACGAACTTAACTATAATACCAATTTTCTGTTCTCTTTGAATCATAATTTAATTAATAATTTCATGCATTACCATAATGAGTAATAATATGTAGGCTGACCAGTGATGAGAAACTTCACCAAAAGCTGCTTTTTCAAACTGGCATATTGTAATAGCGTAGTACTTCGCCGGTCGTGTCGACTGGAAGGGTCAGCCAAGTACAAAGCGACTCTACCGCGTAAAGGCATGGTCAACAGTACTCGAACAAAAAATTTCGCATTTTATACGAATTTTATAATAACTTAGTATTTCCCGTATAAAGTCGTTTGCATAGCTTCCTTAGTTCATTTGTATGTTCATTTTAATTAGACATTTGATTTCTATTGCGTGAGTGATTACACTATTGCATGTTTAATTGCTAGCTCGTTGAATTCACTTTAGAAGTCTAGAAACTTCCATTTTAATAATATTTTATCCCTGGTTATAAAAATTCAGCGCAACGAGTGCTCGTATTGTTCCGATATTTCTTGAATTTTAGGCTAAAACTCTATTAAAGAAACACGAGTTTTTAATTCATAAAACGTGTATATCCTCCTCACCCGCCATATTTACTGACCAAACCTTGTGATTTCCACCTATTTCCAAAAATCAAAGAAAAATTAAAAAGCGAAAGGCTTAAAAACAAAGAAAACGCAATGACTGTCTATAATTTAGAGATTTCTGAGGTGCCTAAGGGAGAGTGGTCAGAGGTATTTTCAAAATGGCTTAAGCATATGCGAAAGTGCATACGTGTTCAAGATAAGTACTTTAAAAAGCTCGATACTAAAAAGTAATAAATATTATAATTTTTCATTCAGATCTCTACTCTACTTATTTCTATTGACATGACCTCTGTGATATATTATTATCTTTACTATAAACGTGTCATCATCATTATCATTACAGCCCTTCAAAAGTCCACGGCTGAACATAGGCCTCTCCCAAGGAATGCCATAAAGCAGGATCCTGAGCCAACTGCATCCATTGACTTCCTGCATGTCTTATCAGGTCGTCACTCCATTTAGTGGCGGGCTGCCCTATACTTCGCTTACCGGTACGAGGTTGCTACTCGAAAATCTTTTATTTCCGTCGGTTGTCGGTTCTTCGAGCTGTATGGCCGGCCCATTGCAACTTCAGCTTACAAATCCGTTGGGCAATGTCAGTTACGCTGGTTCTACTGCGCATATCCTCATTTCTCAGTCAATCACGCTGAGGAACCCCGAGCATAGCCCTCTCCATAGGTCGCTGAGTGAACCCTGAGCTTCCTCATACGGTCAGCAGTGAAGAACCACCTCTAAGATCCATATCTCATCACCGATAAAATACACTGGTTGTACAATCAATTTATGTATATTCTGTCAAAACTCGCCAACCTGTTTACGTTGCGTGGCAACTACGACAAATATTTCCACTTGACCCATGAGCTACTACGACAGTTACGACACTATAAACGTATGGGAATAAATTTTCATTGATCGTGAACTTTTTGTCATTATCATGCTAATGTCTAAAAGTTGGTAAGGTCGATAATTAGTATGTACTACAAATAAAACACATTTACGAAATTCAATGTGTCGCGTCATTACGAGTATGCGCCCCTTATTTTAATGACTTATATTACCTCCTATTATAAGAATAGAGATAGCCCTATTTAATAAAAAATATACCACTTGACCATAATTGTAATATATTTTATACATTCATTGTGGATATATCGGACGATTCGATAGCGCAGTCAAGAGTACGGTTACGGGGCTACACGGCTCGCTTGTCTCATAATAAAATTATTACTATGGTCTATACTGATTTATAAATTCCGACCGGCGAGGGGCTGAGGAGTGCAGGTGCATGGCGTGTCTGTATATACCGTTATAATCTATATAATATCGGGTAATTCATTCAATGTATAATATAACACACATCTACGATACAGGTGAAATTTATTAACTTTTAATTGAAATAGAATTAATATGTTAAGTATATAATAAAATACGAGGACAAACGTCACGTCTCAGTGAGCACAAGGGTATAAACTGACTAAAATGGCATGCTAAATAGGCGAGACAATGTCACCAATAAGAGATCAGATAATGCAGCGCCGGGTCGGGCGAGTCGCACGGCCGTGAGACGTGCAGTTGCCCGTTTTCCTGCCATATCGGGCACTAGGAATGTGTGCCAAATGCAAGCCACCACAGTCACTATCTTCTTACATGCAAGCAAGGCGACATTATACAAGTACAGCAGTACCGTAACGCGGTATCTTGCGGTTGTTTTTATGTCCATTCAGTAAAAGTAATGTTACGTTGCGTTACGGAACTCTCAGAAGACGTAGGACACAACACTCCGAGCGATACAATCAAATTTATATTTGTGTTTATTGGCTGAATTAGGATTTTCTCTGTAATTATTTAAGCTTTCATCTGTTTTATTTTAATACATAAACATAGCAAAGCATGGAAATATGAGTCAGTGTAAACCTTATGGCACTATAAAATATATGATTTGCGGTTGACAACATAATATGGTCAAATAAGTGAAATCTACCGGCATCGTTGGGAACTGAATACCATAATGTATTTGCGAATTGAGTGTATAAGAAAGAAAATGATGCAAAGGTCTTTAACATTTTTTTAATACGCGAAGGATAAACAATAGCATCATAAAATTTTGATACAATACTATAAAAATATTTAAGTACCAAAGGTTAGGAAATAGAATAAGCGTAAAGACCATTTAGTTTACGTGCCACTTGAAAGTTTTCCCTATCTTATTAAAACCCATTACCACGATCACGATTACTAAATTTAGATTATCCAATACAAACAAAAAAGAAGACCACTCCA